ATAGACGTCCAACTAACATTACGTTTTTGGCAAGTGAGTCAAAATGTCATGTTTTTTAGTGTATAGTTTATGAATTTATTCATAAACCTTATCTGTATGGTCTTTTAGTCATAATTTAGTAATTTCATAATAATTTTAATTGCGTATATTTAAAAAGAGAAGATAGAGACGTATTTATTTACACTTCATTTCTTTTTCTAAACCTTTAAAATACAGACGTCAGACGTCTAAAGCTTCAAAAAAATATAAGATTGAATAAAAGTGTACAAAGAATGTATTAAAAATATGTCGGTGTCCTTGTTGTATTATAAATTAATGCTTCCTTTAACATTTAATTATTTTCTTTTTAATTTTCAGAATTTTGACCCATCTTAGTGACGCAAGGGCTAACGTAGTTACGATGGATGGGGCAGACAAAAAAGGATTAACTTTCACCGTTCAGTCTGTTGGTATTGAATACACTCATGAGCCAACAACCAATGCAGAGACCCCTAAATACATTTGTGAATACTATTCGAAAGACAGGTCATTCAAATGTCAAAGAATTCTGGTCTTAATGACATGCCCCGCCTCGAAAAATACGGACTTGTTTGGCTTAAAGTTGAAACCTGGGGAGTTCTTTAATGACATTTCATTGTCTAGCACTACACGTATTTGCAAGGGTGAATCCGATTCTGTATGGATTATCACATTTTACAGGAATATTGAAGAAAACCGAGATCCCATAGATTTTAACTCTGAAAACGCACTTAAAGAGCAAAGGATGTCAAGAACTACCCCGGGGTTAAATTACGACGATACCCTGTCAGATTTTACCGGCGTAGAGACATCCTCTTTAAAAAATGTCCATACAACAGATATCAAAGAGGTGGCTTCCGAGGCCTCTGTGGCTGTGATAGTTGCTTCTATCGTAGTGGCTTTGATCGTGATAACTGGTGCCTCTGTGGTCATTTACTGTCTTGTTTGTAGAAGGAGACTAAGAAGCAGAAGAAGTTCAAATTTAAACCATTCAGGGAAGACAATCCCACGATACGAAGAAGTTCGGTTTTTACCAGATAATGAAATGCCACACCCCGGAAGTAACACCAACGGTAATCATGTTAATTTCAGTGGGGTTAATTGTGGAAGACCCCACCCCGGAAGGATTAATGATGGTAACTTCAGCGGAATAAGCAACATTTACAGTTACCCATTTCCTTATAGCGTGAATAAGAAACAGGATAAAAAAACACATGGTGATATCCCTAACGACCCCAGCCTATCTGATTACAGCAATCCCGTGGACAGCTATTATGATCCCCGTCAACTCCATTCAAACAATGGGGACAAATATACAGAACTGGGGTCGTCTTCTCTTTCTTCTGAACGTGCATTCTGGAAAAGGAAAAAATCGGATTATGCACCAGAAACATCAGAATATAGTAACCCGGACGACAGTTACCACGTTCCGAGAAGTTTACATGAAAGCCATTCAGAAATCTCTCCCAATAATAATTACACTAATAAATACACAGAATTAGAGAGTACTACTTACTCTATGAATGATCAAGAAATTCCTTATAAACTCAGTAACACTCCGCCAGTGTACAGTGATCCTAAGGTGGGTGCTCCCGAAAACAATAAAAAGAAAGACACTCTGTCTATTCATGAGTACAACAAGTTAGGAGAAGAAACGAAAGAATTTATGCATGAATATGATCACTTAGAAGACAACTCGAAATAAACAAAGATAAAGCTTATTCTCAGTCTAGAGAGGCAATCGCCTATGTACACACGCAACACAAGAGTACACGACCAGCTACTGAACCATAGAGCCGTGTGGGACTATATGTGTTATTACTGACCTACAGTCCTGGCTAAATAAGTTTTTTTCACATTTTTAAAAATGCTTAACCTACACGACCAGCTACTGAACCATAGAGCCGTGTGGGACTATATGTGTTATTACTGACCTACAGTCCTGGCTAAATAAGATCTTTTTACATTTTTAAAAATGCTTAACCCTTGAGTTTGATAAATGACTTTTGAATCTAACGTTTGAACTGCTAAGTCCTTGAATTAGATAAATGCTAAACCTGGACAAGTTATACTTCATCTGAATAACTCTACTGATTAGGGTAATGTATTTGTTATCTCTATTGAACAATACAATGTGTTCTAAATATATGTATGAATGAATATTGAAAGTGTTTCCACGAAAGATGTGATTCCATTTTAAAGTGTTAATAAAGACTCATTAATGTGTCTCACTAAGTGTCAGGTCAGGACAATTCAATAAAACGTCTATTTACAATTGTAAGTATATATTGTATCTGTAAGTATACACGTATATTTTATGTGCATAATGAGTTGTACACATGGCCTATAGTTAGGTTTTAGCAAATAGTAATATATACATGCACGGAATTCCTATTGATTGATATGTATTAGTGAAAGTACAATGGATGCCCATTTGAAGTCATCTGAGAAGTTATCAGATTAGGCAGTATTAAGTCTCAGCTTTTCGCATCATGCTGTCACTGTGTCAATATTCTTATGGTCCGTTAGCGTAAAATCTGGATGATCAATATCAGTTAGTGGTCAATGTAATTTGATCAATAGGACATTTCTTTTCCGCTTTGTTTTGTGATATAGAGTTCGTCGTCCATCACTTGGCTCGAAGCAGTCCATCTAGTTCATTGTTTCTTTAACCTTTCAAAAGTGAAATATTAAAAAAAAAACGTATGTGTAAAACTTTGTTTAAAAAAAATCTACATTGAAAATAACATTTTTCGAGAAAAATCTAAATAGACATTCGCATATCCTATCACCAGAATTATAACTAAATAGACTTCAATATCATATTTATCAAATTAAAACTAATATTTATTAGAGGGGTTTTATTTTGATAAATAGTGTGTAATACTATTTATATTAGCGTTTGCTATTGTTACATTAATAGAGTAATAAAAGCACTAAATTATGATGCAACATCGATTCTTAAGTATATACAATCTAGACATTGTTCAGTTTCTGAAAAATCGTTCTAGATAATGAATCTGTATGAATTAAAAATGGATGTAAGACCAAACTATCCGTACACCCATGCAAAACTACAGAGGCTCTTATATATTGCAATATTACCTCCACACTAAACATAATGTCAACGTTCAATAGTAAGGCTTGTTAATTGTTTAAAGCATATGCCAAATATAATAAATACTTTTAAAAAATATAAAAAAGAAGCTTATCTAAAGGGAAGAACTCCGCACATACAAATACATCTATCAATACTAAGTTATTTCCCTAATTTGATACCAAAGAAAATTATTAATAACCAATAAGTAATTTACTAATTGTATTTTTTTAAAATTGATTCGTTTTGTTAGGTACAATAAAAAATTGTTTCAAATTTAAACTTGAATGGGTGTGTTTCAAATGGCAGAAATGTTGTAATTTATGTAAAAAATGGTTTTAAAACACAAATTTGAAGGTAAATTTTAATATATAATGAAATCAATGGACCTTCTTTTGTATTTTCATGTGTGAAAGTAAAAATTATCTGCGCAAAGTGTATTTCTTAAAATTATATCTAGATCTAAATCCTTTCGATCTATTCTCATGTCAACATTGTAAACAAAGCCTAGATCCATAACTACTATAGCTTTAATAGAGTCGGACAACCTTTTTTTTTTTTGAGGGTCTTAAGTTTGTTTTAGGGCTACAATACATACACTACGGTCTAAGTTAGTACCCAAGGAACATTTCTGCCAAGTTTTATAAAGATTGGTCAAGCGGTTTTTATTTCTATTCCTAACATACATACATACATACACACATACGCCTTACTTTCTACTTTATATAATAGAAGTAAAGATTTATTTTACAAAAAAAGTTTTATTTTTTATGTTACCGTCATAAATTCGTAGGCTCAAACGGTTCGAGTCAAAACGGCTTCTCCAAAACGCCTTTAACCAATATGCTGCTACACCCAATGTAGACTCAATCAATGTTCATTATCGGGTGTTTGATGCAAGTTCTCTTTTCGCCGTTTTATTTATGCTTCTCTGTGAACAGTGTGTGTCTCAAAAAGTGCCTTTGAAAGATTGTCTTTCTAAAGCCTCTAGTTGGCAGGCGTTCTCTGTAACTGCTAACGCTAGCTCACACCTGACCTGTCCCTGAAGCGTGTTTAAGGACCTTCTTCTCTAAAGCCGACCACCTATCTGATCACAAAAAATAAAGATTGCATTTGGTCTACGGTCGTCCCCCATACGAAATAAGTGCCTACCCATCATCAATAAGTACTGTCTTTACACTATCGATCCTGTATTCACCAGATCGTTGTTTGTACGTCAGTGTCTGTCAGTAAATGAAGGTAGAGAGGTTACTTCATATCCCGCCGATGAACGAAGACTTCATTCTAAGAAATCCAAGAAGATAATTTCTGGGTAAACCAATATTGAGTGCATATTCCTTTTAAAAATAGAACAACAGGGCACCATGCTACGCTATTCGGGGCGCGGTGGTCGAGAGGTAAAGGGCTTAGCTTCTGAACCGAAGATTTTAGAATTTGAATCTTCGTGATGACTTGGCAGATTTTTAAACGTCAAAATTTAAAGGTCTCAACTTTAATAGGAACTTTGATATTGGGCATGTAAAAGAAAGTTGGTCAATTGTTAACTGTCGGCTGTAGAAACATATGAAATCCTATTTTATCTTCATCGATTGTCTATCTCATGGGTTATATATCCACTACTCTATCTCGTGGGTTATATATCCACTACTCTATCTCGTGGGTTATATATCCACTACTCTATCTCATTGGGTTATATATCCACTACTCTATCTCGTGGGTTTTATATCCACTACTATATCACATGGGCTATATATTCACTACTATATCACATGGGTTATATATCCACTACTCTATCTCGTGGGTTATATATCCACTACTCTATCTCGTGGGTTATATATCCACTACTCTATCTCATGGGTTATATATCCACTACTCTATCTCGTGGGTTATATATCCACTACTCTATCTTATGAGCTAATTATCCACTACTCTATCTCATGGGTTATACATCAACTACTCTATCTCATGGGTTATGTATCCACTACTCTATCTTATGGATTATTTATCCACTACTCTATCTCGTGGGTTATATATCCACTACTCTAGCTCATCCTCTATCTAAGTGATGCTAAAACCTAATTTAACCGTCGGGCCATTCTCGTGTCGTGTACCACATTACTGATTTAACTCACTCTCATTTCATGATATTTTCTTTTGCTGCAATATTTTTTTTCATGTATAATACTACTAAATGCTCTGTTATACCTTTTACAGTATTCTTATAAAAATATTATTGTATTAAAGCCAAAGATTTAAAAAAAAGTGTTTTTATGTTTCTTTAAATCTGTATATATGTATAAGAATATAGACTTTTTTTCTGCATCAAGAATCTTTCATACATAATTGTTATTACATATTGTCACTTGATATATATATATATATACATATATATATATATATATATACTCATGTTGTCATGTTTTTATTCCTTTTATTTTATTATTTATTTAAAATATGTCTAATAATAAAACCTATTAAAGTTTTCTGCAAATGAGTTTCAGTGTTGGATTATCCTATGCAGGACCGGCCCTAACAATAGCGGGGCCCTATGTGACACGAATTGCACGGGGCCCAGTCTGGGACCTGGATAGGGAAAAGCATAACATCAAAATTAAGATTTTGTATGAGAAAATGCATTTGTCTTTGCAATATATTTTATTAAATGAAAGCCGACTTTGCCCTTTTATTTTTTATCGCGTGTAATATTGGCACCCCAAAATGATAATTTTGTCTTTTTTTTCAGATTTTTATGGATTTTCGCATAATTTTAATTATTTCAGGAGATATATTGTATATTATATTGTAATTACAGGAGATTTTCAGGAGGCCCTGGAAAATCAGAGGGCCTAGGAAACCTTGTTATTGTATATAAGTTATAATGGTTAAATTTAATAATTTACACTTAGAATTAGCGCGGGGCCTAAGAAAATGTGGGCCCCACTGCGACCGCAGTGGCCTAAGTCCGGCCTTGATCTTGTGTCTATTTACATACAACAAATTAAGATTTAATGTGCACAAGATAACACTCCGCAGTTGTCTCTGATAATGTCTCGTGTTCTTTAACGCTTTGAAACAGGCGAGTCTCTCTTAATTACGCTAGAGCTAAAGCAAAAATAAAGCCTCAAAAAGTAGGACATAATCAATACCTCTCATCAGAGATAGATCTACTCATGTGTGCTTCCAACGCGTCACACACGCTTAATACTACACAGTTAGTTTATTTACACGTCAACACACACACGACTAGAACGTGTATTCGGCTATTTCAAACGCCTGGTACAGGCTTGGGACACACATATGAACATGTTTACGAGACCGACATGTTCCATGACCTTAATAACACTTTACATTTCATGATTATCCCTATTACTCTTTCTTGTACGTATATATATATTTTTATTGATGTATCCAATAGCAATTTTGAATTTTTTGTCAATACGTACTGTAAATTAGCTCTTCTGACACCAATAATGTAAATGCCCAGTGACTCTTTTATTCCTAGTTTATTCTTAATACTTATTATTACAATTCCTTAAGCTCATATAACGTTAGTGAGGTCAAAATATATTTACAAATATATCGTCACATATAGCATACATAACAAACTATACAATGTTATAACAATTTTACAAGAAAAACAAAAAAATACTTTAAAAAAACGTATACCAAGTAAGCTTGAATCAATTATTTTGATCCGCCATGGAATTAAATTTGTAAAATATCTAGACTAACAAAATTTTTTTCTGTGTGTGTAAATACTTTTAAAAACTGATTACGATAAAATTCACCCAGAGATCGCTTTCTCCCCCCCCCCCCCCCCCCCATTTTTCCAACTGGTTCAGACAAGTGATAGGATCATAGCGTAGTGAGAAAGCTAAAAGCATGAAAAGGGGGACAGAGCCCGCCGACCTCCTCGTGATGTCCTCTGGTAACTGGAGTATGTTCACCCTTTGCTCTCGGGGTGTTCCGAAAAGGGAGCTCCAACTTTCCTAGCAGGCTCTCACGCTCTCTTGGTGCAGAGTTCTGCTGGTGAGGTTTGGGGAAAATGCTGAGCTCTGACTGACATACCCCCCTGCACGCTCGTCTGGTGTAGGGATTGTGTCTGTCGGGTCTATAGCCTATGCTGAACTGATCAGCTGCCGCCCTGGAGACTATATGTTAACTAGTGAAGGGTCAAGCCATTAAAATTTGCGGACTCTAAACTGGTGGTTACAAAAAAAGGTCTCCTGCCACACTTCACTTTTGTGGATTAAACCCTGAGGATGAAAAGCAAGAAAAAAGGGCTAAGCAAAAAGCAAATTGGTAAAGAAAAATATTTCTAATCGCAAGGATTTATTCTTGTCGGTCTAGATCTTTTATAAATTTAATGACACAACTGATCCAAACTAATTAATACAATCCACGCTCTGCGTATACGCTTTTTTTTTTTTTAATAATTTTTTTGTTGTTGTCTTTCTTGTTTCTATTTTAAAATCTTCAACCAATCAAAGTGCGATCTATTTTCTCACAGAGTTCAGACTGTCATTTTTTTTTTATATCTTCTCCATTAGCAGCATTATTGACAACTATTACCATCAGATGTAAAACTGTGGTTGGACTAGAGTCCAGTGGTTCCCAAACTTTTTTGTCTCGTAGACCCCTTGCCATGTTTTCTGGTTTCGGTAGACCCCCTGTTTAATTTTTTTTTTCAAATTGATCAACATTTTTTATGACTAATTTCTATCTGTAGTGAGGTGAAAAGTGAAAAAGTAATTAAAAGCTACATACAAAGTTATAGAGATCTATCTTTTTTTGTTATTGATGAAATTCAAATTTAAACTAATTAAAATAAATAAGTTTCATATCGTCATATTTTATGAGGAATGAATGAACAATTTTAAATAATCTTAAACAAACTTAAGTTATTTAAATAATTATTGAAATTAAATACTACAATTTTTCGTTTGAATAGAATGATAAATATTTAAAGGATATACTTATGTACACATTATATATCAGCGTGAAGAATTACATGGGATGTAAAAATTAAAGTCACGACCTGCCTAAATGACATCTAAATGACATCTATTATCAAAGACCCCCTTGGACATCTCATGGACCCCCAATTGTTTTTTCACTTTCGTAGACCCCTTGGAAGTCTTCGTAGACCCCTGGGGGTCTATATAGACCACTTTGGGAATCACTGGACTAGACTCTCGTTTCTCTCTCATTATACCCACATGATATATTCTTTGCAGTTGTGTACTTTTGTATGTATAAAACTATTCTGTCCTTACCTACTTGTCTACATAACATTTCTTTATGACTACCGGAAGGGTTTGGGTCTGGTCATCTACACATACACAAATCTTGACCCACATTACTAGCCAGTCCCTGTAGCATTTAAGAGACATTTTAGTTTATCGACGCATCATGCTATCAATACCTTTGTGGTCCGATATTGGGAAATCTAGTCCATCAGTATGACTGTTTATTTCCTGCTTGTTTGTGATAGAGTTTGTGATTGAGTTTGTCTATCACTTGTCACTAAGCAGTCTATGGCGTTTCGTTAACATTTTAGACAAAATATATCTTAATAACACTTTTGTAAATAAAAGTTTGTTTGAAAAAATATTAAAATTTCTCATTTGTTTAAACGTATCTGAAAATGCATGTAAAGAGACATTCACAAACCTATTCACCATACTTGTATATTTAATAGACTTCAATATAATTTCTTTTACTTATGATTGCTAGTATGAGGATTAACAAAATAAAACTTCTCGATAATGTTGACCTCTTGACCGTGTCATACAAACTGGACGCGGATCCTTTAACCTGTTTGTCCTGTGAGTTAGTGTAATTCGGTGAGATTTAAACTGAGTAAAGATGAAATTCAAAGGGCTTAAAAATATATAATGAATGTCGAAAAAAAAAAACAAAATTACAAACGGATGACGACCTGGTCAATCTGTCTTCTCAAAAGTCCGTGCACGCTGCCACATTTGCGAGAGGTTCTGACTGGGAAGTAGATTTTCTGCCAGAAACTTGTAAACATTGTACAAACCAAAAATTACAAATAATCATTTTGTTGAAACCCTAAACTAATATGCTATATATCTATATGTGTATGTCTATTTATGTATGGTAACCCACAGCAATCAGATGATGACCTCTCTCGTAATCCAGGGTGCTGAATTACGTAGACTCTAAGATAAGATAAAATAAGACTCGTCAGATATTGTGTAATTTTTTTATTTCATGGTAGACAACTGCTAATGAAAGGTTGTAGTGGAAAAAATTATTTCTCTCCCTTGTGTTATACAATTTATTTAGAGGCCATGCTTAATCATTATCGTATTAAACACAGCGATAGATTGAGAATAATATTGATAAACAAATAGTGTGTGAGGGGCAGGGAAAGCGGAGTCGATATAAAAATTTAAATAAAATACAAAATTTAATTAGTTTGTAAAAAAAAAAATTGAGATTTTCATTAGATGAATCATAGTCGCTTCGCGATTGAAAGAAGCCATAGCAATTTGAGAATCATATTGTAAGAATATAATTCCAGCTAATAAAGAGGGAGGCTCAGTGCCTGAGCGGTAGAGCGCCTGGCTTCTGAAGCGAGGGTCCCGGGTTCGAACCCTGGTAAAGACTGATGTTTTTAATTTCGGGACCTTTGGGCGCCTCTGAGACCACCTAGCTAATGGGTTACTGACATTAGTTTGGGGAAAAGTAAAGGCGGTTGGTCGTTGTGCTGGCCACACTCGTTAACCGTAAACAAATGACATTTACATCATCTGCCCTATAGATCAGAAGGTCTGAAAGGGGAACTTAACTTACTTTTTTACTAATTAAGACCTTAATTGTACAGTAGTTTAATTTAATACACGGACCAAGGGTTTGGTACTCGTTTCCCATTGAACTTAAGACAGACAACACGCTTCACTACATTCAAGAAGAACTTTAAGACCTACCTGTTTAAAACTTTTTTTTAGATTAGTTTGTCATTTTAGCTCTCGTGTTTGTGTTTGTAATGTTATCACAGCACCCTGAACCTACATTTTGTTTGTTAACAGTGCTCTATGAGTTAAATTATTATTATTATTTTTAATGCATTTACATACCGTATAGTCTACCACACTACCTACTTGTAGAAACACAATACTTTTTTGGAATGCGTCTGTTCTGTTTTCTATAAGGACACGGATGAACGAATGCATATCATAACACGCAATTTGGGGCCGGATATATTTAATTCAAATGTAAAGGTCGATTTTAATACCTAGTCCGCTCCTGGGGGGGTCATCCAACATTCATTTCCCATCACACGCCCATGTCACGCCACGATATATCACATGGCAACAAATATCAAATATCCCCACCCCT